TCCAGTGAAATATATTTATGTTTGTGGTTGTAATGTGACAAAATATGGAAAAGTTCAAGGGGTATGAATACTTTTGCAAACCACTGTATGTATCGACAGCTCCTGTTATCCTGATTGTTTGGTTTGATCCCAGCAGCAGATAATGAGGGACCGATGGATGAACGTGGGCTACGAGGAGGACGAACTCAAACCCTACATCGAACCTCAGCCAGATTATAAGGACCCCAGGAGAACAGGTACGCAGCAGAAATATTCAAATTTACGTTTATTAATAACCACAAATGGATATATATGTAAGAGCACAGTAATGCTAATCTGTTTTGTGGTGTTTTTGTGCAGAGAAAATGCTGCGGATGGGATATTCTCAAGAAGAGATTCAGGACTCACTGGTGAACCAGAAGTACAATGAAGTGATGGCTACGTACCTGCTTCTGGACTACAGAAACTCTGAGGTAGAAGCTTCTCTCACACATACAGTTTGGTGCTACCAGCAGTACTGAATAGGGTGGGGTGGTGGGTGGTAATGATCATTTTCATACCGCGGTATAACCTTCAGAAACTACCGAGGTATACAGTGGTGCCGAAGGTTATACATGTTACATGTTGAGTAATTAATAATTAATAGAGAAATGGCAACTTGTGAGCTTTACATGCACATTCTAGAGGCAGAGAGAGGTGTGGGAAAAAAACAGACATTTTGTCACTCAGTCTGAGAGCAGCAGACATAAAAAGCAGCCTTTTTATGTTGAAGAAATCAAAATACCTCCAATTACTTCTTTTTTGGGGTTTTAATTTTCAAAATAATTCGTCATGTCTGCGCTGCTGCATCCACTCATCCAGTCTTTGTGCCGTTAGTTATTTCCTCATTCTGAAAGAGCCTCGAATGTTTGTGTCCCAGTTTTCATTTGGCACATCGCCTCATGTGATTAATATACAGTCATCATTTTTAAATACGTCACCATGTTTTAATACTGTGGTATACCGTCATACCGCCTTGTGCTAAACAGATACAGATATTTTTTACCTTTGTTTTTGTGTCGTGTAATAGAGTAGCAGGAGTAACAGGAGCAGTTGTGTTACTGCTACAGTTTAGCATTCTGTAGTGTTTTGTTACATTCAGTTTGCAGCTGATTGTAGCTTCTTTAGCAAAGTTATTCAGAACTCAGCATTCATTTTTACAGAAAATATATATTTTTTTATTTTTAGTTTGTATCTACACTTTAATATATCTGCTTTATTCTGATATACATTAAAAGCTTGTTTATTTTTCTCACTCAGCTGGATGAAGGTTGCCTTAAGCCACGGCCAGGAAGTGATTTAAGCACCATAAATGCCCCCTCCCCACCTCACAAGGTATGAAACCTCACGAAACACCAATGATGACATTTGATTTGTCTGTTTTCAGATATCTTATTTTAAACTTTTTATTATATCTTCAATTTAAATCACTGCTAATGTCGCTCATTTTACTCATTGGGTTTTGTTTTAAGTTTATTTTAGAAGCTTTATGTATAAAAATCATCTGTAAACATTATTTTTTATATTATTTTTTGATTTGAACGTGTCTAAATACTAACAAGAATAGTTGACTGAAAGTTGTCTTGTCTCTCTAAGGTACAGCGCAGCGTGTCATCCAACCAGAAGCCTCAGAACCGCAGAACCACTGAGCAGGGTGAGTGTGTTGGGAGGGAAATGGATGCAGAGGTTAAAATTAAAAATAAAATGACAGAATGAGATGAAGGAGGTGGTGTCAGAGTTTAGGATTTACTTTTTATTATTTGTGTGCTTGTTTTTTTAGGCTCCTCCTACTCCAAGAGAGGAGGTCAGTCAGACAACCGATCTGGAGTGGAGGATTCTGGGAGGAAAAGTTCATCAGGCAGCTCCACTACCAAGGTGCCAGCCAGCCCTCTGGTGTCGTCTGACCGCAAGAAGAGCGCCACGCCTTCCACTGTGAGTCCTGACACCAACAGATCAACTACATTTATGTTTTTACTTTTATTAGATCAGCAGAAACATCTGTTAATATCTCAAGTTTTCTGAAACAGTTGACGGTCAAAGCTTCAATTTATCTCAGCTGAAAAAAATAAAGTATAAAAATGAACAACCGTATATTAAATCAACTGATCTCTGTCAGGTTTTTTAAGAAATTGACCTTTATTTTGAAAGTCACTTTTTCCCCAGCATATGATCTGACAAGTTCAAAGATCAACAGTAATTCTAGTTAAACATTAAACTTAATAAGTGCTGATTAACAGACAAAGTTTGCCACACTTTTATCTACTGTCTTCATTTTGTGAAGCCATTTTCAGATCTTGTCAAATTTATTCTGATCATACTTTAGATTTGCACAGCTAGTTGTAATATTTGTATCTGCTGGTGAAAACCATTAGAACATGTCTGAAGTGCAGCCATACCATCAGAAGGAAAGCCATCATGTGACCATAACATGTTGTTATCATTTGTATAATGAATGTGGCTGTGCAGGAACAACACACTCCACTGTTCTACTGTCAGCGGTTACCAGAACTGGTGTTTTAACTGGGAGAGGAAGTCTGTCTCAGTGGTGTTAGTCAATGAATGAATGAATGAATAAATAAATAAATATAAAATCCAGAAAATAATCCAAAATACTGGGTAAGTACTAAAAATAAAAAAATAAAAAATAAAATAACACAATTTTGTTGTTGCTGGCGAGGCAGAAACACTAGCTATAAGCTAAAATGAGCAAAATAATTGCTAACAATAGCAAAATATTTTTGGTAAAATTAACAAAACAGTAGCTAAAATCTTATTGTAGCAAATGATTCATTAAAAGCTAAAAGTATCAAAAGGAATAAGAAAAATATAAAAGCAAGTAGTTGAAGCAACCATTGTGGGGTAGTAATTTTTAAATAAATTTTAAAAAAAAGTCACAGCACTCATCTCCTGAATAAGCTAAACGTTTTGACATATAAATGTTTCAACAAACTGCTTCCTCCTATCTCTCACTCTGAGGTCTGTGTTTGAACTGATTCTTATTTATACGTGGGCTTTGGTGGCAACATGAAGTGTGTGTGTGTGTGTGTGTGTGTGTGTGTGTGTGTGTGTGTGTGTGTGTGTGTGTGTACACACAC